GTTGCCTCGTCTTCGAGCTTGCAGCAGCTGAGATCCTCCCTAGACCAGCTTTCTCTGCTGTACTCCGTCGCCAGCCCCTTCGTCGCGCACGTTGCGGCTGTCGACTACGCTGCTGGCTCCTCCACTGGTTTGGTCACGGATTACACGTCTTCCTTGACTTTGGCTGAGGAGCTTGGCCTGGGCCTTGTCTCGAGCGCCTCGGTCTATGAGATCCAGCACATGTCGTTGTTCGCCACTCTTTTGGCTAGCATCGTGCCCGCCATCCACACCTACGACGGCATCACCGTTGGCCGCGAGACCACTCGCATTGTGGACGTCCTTGACAAGTCGGGTCTCTTCAACAACTACCAGACCATCCTGAAGGAGACCTCCGGTCTTGAGAAGAAGCACTCTGACAACGAGGGCAAGCTTGTCCGTCTGCTCAAGGCTTTCAACGATGAGCTTGGCACGGATTACAAGCTGTTCGAGTACCATGGTCACGCTGCCCCTGAGACTGTCCTTGTGGTCTTTGGTACCATTGAGGCGTCCCTCGGCGCCCAAATCGTCAGCAGCCTGGCTGAGAAGGATGTTAAGGTCGGCCTGATCAACGTCCGCGTGTACCGTCCCTTCGTTGAGGAGGTCTTCCTCGAGACTCTGCCCAAGTCTGTTCAGAACATTGTTGTTCTTGGCCAAGTTAAGGATGAGGCCTCTGCCGCCGACGAGGACAACCACTCTGCTCTTTACACCGACGTCCTCGCCGCTGTCAGCTTCTCTCAGGCCGGTGCCACCCCTGCCGTTGCCGACGCCAAGTACTCCAGGGAGCAGGTCTGGACTCCTACCAAGTTCGCCGAGGTCATCGCCAAGTTCAGCCCCGAGGCTTCGCAGGCTGCTTTGCAGATCTCTGACGCGGAGGCCCAGCAGTACAGCTTCTGGAACGTTGACGAGTCCGTCTCCGTCAGCGCTCCGTTGATTCTCGGCCAGCTACTTGCCAAGGACTCCGCTACCAATGTCTCTGTCCGCATTGGTCACGACAACTTCGTCCAGGGTGGTACCATCAGGACCGACATCCGCAAGTCTAGCAGGTCCATTGAGGCCGCTTACTCTATCGACAGCGCTGATGTTGCGTTCGTTGGCGAGGAGAAGCTCCTCGCCGAGTTTGACATCATCAACAACCTGAAGAGCGCGGGTTCGTTGATTGTCAGACTCCCTGGTGCCAAGGACGAGGACCTTGAGAAGCGCCTTACCGTTGGTGTCCGCAAGGGCATTTTTGGCAAGAACATCAAGCTCTTCGTCCTTGACCCCACCGCTTCCGAGAACGTCTCCGAAGACGCCACTCTCGAGTCTTACCTGACTCAGCTGGCTTTCCTCAAGGTCGCCGAGGGCGACAAGTTCTCCTCTGCTGCTCAGAAGCTGGCGACTCTGGCCGGCGGCTCTCTGGACAGCCTTGTCGGCGAGGTCGAGAAGGCCCTTCGCGAGGTCGCCATCCCGGAAGCTTGGGCGACCGTTGAGCCCGAGGTCGAGAGCATCTCGCTTCCCACCGACGTCAACGTCAACAGCTTCACATCATTCGAGAAGATTGAGCCTGAGCCGCCGACCCTGATGAAGGACTGGGTCACAGCTGCCAAGGGTCTTGCTTTCAAGGAGGCCTACGGCACCAAGTCTGCTCTCCGCCCCGACCTTCCGGTCAAGACTGCGATTGTCACAGTCAAGGAGCGCCGTCGTCTGACTCCGGTTACCTATGACCGTAACATCTTCCACATCGAGTTTGACCTCGGCAACTCCGGCGTCAAGTACGCCATCGGCGAGGCGCTTGGCATCCACGCCGAGAACGACCCCACCATGGTCGAGGAATTCATCAAGTGGTACGGCCTCAACCCCGAGGAGATTGTCGAGGTTCCCACCCGCGAGGACTTCAACGTCCTCGAGAACCGGACCGTCTACCAGGCGCTTCTGCAGAACGTCGACATCTTCGGCCGCCCGCCCAAGCGCTTCTACGAAGCCCTTGCCGAGTTCACCTCGGACGAGAAGGAAAAGACTGCGCTGCTGACTCTCCTCACCCCCGACGGCGCCACCGAGTTCAAGCGCCGCGCCGAAGTCGACACCGTCACCTACGCCGACATCTTGCTCGAGTTCCCGTCCGCGCATCCTTCCTTCCACGACATCGTGCGCATCGTCTCGCCCATGAAGCGTCGCGAGTACTCGATTGCCTCCTCCCAACGCGTCACCCCCAACTCCGTCTCCCTCCTCATCGTCACGGTCGGCTGGGTCGACGCCCAGGGCCGCGACCGCTTCGGCCAAGCAACCCGCTACCTGAACAGCCTGCCCATCGGTGCCCCCGTTACCGTCTCCGTCAAGCCATCCGTTATGAAGTTGCCTCCCAGCCCCAAAGCTCCCATCATCATGGCTGGTCTTGGTACCGGTCTTGCCCCCTTCCGCGCCTTCGTCCAGGAGCGCGCGCTCCAGAAGGCCGAGGGCCAGGACATCGGCTCCGTCCTCTTGTACATGGGCTCTCGTACGCAACGCGAGGAGTACCTTTACGGCGAGGAATGGGAGGCGTACCAAGATGCGGGCATCATCACGCTCCTCGGCCGCGCCTTCTCGCGCGACCAGCCCCAGAAGATCTACATCCAGGACCGCATGCGTGAGAGCATCGAGGAGATCAGGACTGCTTATCTCAAGGAGGAGGGTAGTTTCTACCTGTGCGGACCGACGTGGCCGGTGCCGGATGTTACGGCCGTGCTGCAGGAGGCGGTGGAGTTGGAGGCGGGTGAGGGCAAGAAGGTGGATAGCAGGAGGGTCATTGAGACGCTGAAGGATGAGGGGAGGTATGTGTTGGAGGTTTACTAGATGGTGTGTATTTGGAGGATTTGCAGGTTGGAAGTTATCTAGCGTTGCTTGTACACCGCGACTGCTGAATCTTGTACGCGTTGTTCCATGACATTCAATAAGTTTTGTGTTCACTGTCGTTGCTTCTGTATGATATTTTGAGGAATTATCTATGGAATCATGGATGAAGTCAACATAGAGCTTCCACTAGCGCCGCTAAACTCCGGGATCCCTGCCCCTCACTGCCCCTCCATCCAAGAATTTCTTTCTCACCTCCGCATGTCCCTCCGCAACCTCCACCACATCCGTCCGCGCCTCCTCATTCACACCCGCTCCATCCACATCCCACGCGTCACAATGGCCAACGCCGCAACCACCTACCCGGACCCCGTCCACATCGCCGTCATCGGCGGCACCGGCCTCCAATCCCTCCCCAACTTCACCCACGCCGCAACCCTCAACATCAACACGCCCTGGGGCACTCCCTCCTCCCCAATCTCCATCCTCCACCACCCGTCCCCTGCCACCGGCAAACCCATTCCCATCGCCTTCCTATCCCGTCACGGCCTCGAGCACCAACTTGCTCCCCACGAAGTCCCCTCCCGCGCCAACATCGCCGCGCTTCGCAGCATCGGCGTGCGCACCATCATCGCGTTCAGCGCGGTCGGTAGCTTGCAGGAGGAGGTGCGGCCGAGGGACTTTGTAGTCCCCGATCAGGTCATTGATCGGACCAAGGGGATTAGGCCGTTTACCTTCTTTGAGAAGGGAATGGTCGGGCATGTCGGGTTTGGGGATCCGTTTGACGAGGGGCTGGCGAAGGTGGTGAGGAAGTGTGGACACAGTTTGGAGGGGGAGGGTGTTACGTTGCATGATCGCGGGACGCTGATTTGCATGGGTGAGTCCTGATCCACCCATCCTCGACTGCTTCTTCGATGGTTGTGTACTGATGCCGTCAACCACAGAGGGCCCCCAATTCTCCACCCGCGCCGAATCCAACCTCTACCGTACCTGGGGCGGCACCGTCATCAACATGTCTGCCCTTCCCGAAGCCAAGCTCGCCCGCGAAGCCGAAATCGCGTACCAGATGATCTGCATGGCAACCGACTACGACTGCTGGCACACGACCGAGGACGTGAACGTCGAGATGGTCATGGGCCACATGAAAGCCAACAGCGAGAATGCGCGCCGCTTCATCGGCGCAGTGTTGGACGCGCTGGCGGCGCAGGAGCATTCCAAGTTGGTCATGGCGGAGCATTTGCAGGGGCAGATGAAGTTTGCGGGCGGGATTACCAAGCCCGAGGGAAGGGGTCAGGAGGCGTTGGAGAAGTTGGCGTGGCTATTCCCGGGGTATTTTGAGTGAGTCGGCATGGGAGAGGGGAGGGCTGCATGTGATGGTTGCGGGCCTCTTGGTTGTGAAGACTTTCAACAGATACCCGTCATTTGCTAAGTTAGCCCGCACTTCAACAGCCGCGACTTGCGTTGAGACTCTGTGCATTGGTTTGGAGACGCGACGTTTGTTCCTGTTGCAAGACATAGAGGTACAATGCTATAGAGCACGGTTGCTTTTCATGTTCGCACCTGACATAGGAGACCAAGCCGCCGAAGAACGCTCTCAGGCCTCAGAAACTAACTATTTCCTGTCAATGCAACCGACACGGAGCGTATGTATAGCCCTTAAAGTTGGTCGATCTATCTCAGGAGGTGACAACAGGATGGCCACCTCGGATACTACGAGACAAGCACTTACTCCCACAAATCTATTGTCTGCCAAGGATGTAACAAGCACCCTTACTCGGACGCCTGGAACCCCGTGCCTAAGGCCAAACCTCAAGGAGAACGCCCTGAAGATGTTAGTTACGGAAATATCCCGTCATCGAAAACTCCCATGATCATGCGCACATGTAACGTCTTGTCGAATCTTCTTCGCCGACTTCATAGAGGCCTATACATATCTAGCTAACCGCGTCCACCATGCACATCCGCTCGTCATGCAAAGCGCGGTACAAGCACTAAGCCAGAGCACGCGCAAAATCCCAAGCCCGTGTATGACCACCACACCCCAGAAGGCCGCCACGCAATCCACGGAAACAGCAAGCCTCGAAAGCCCGTCAACTTCCCCGCGCAACAATACCGTCGCTGGTCTTGTATCGACAACACCAGAACTCTTCCATCGATACACGACAGACGACAGCACAGGCCGTGTGGCGAAATGGCATCGCGCTTGACTACGAATCAAGAGATTCCAGGTTCGACCCCTGGTACGGTCATCTTGTAACACTGAGCACCCGCTCATGCCTTTGTTTTTTGGGGTTTTGGTTGTGGGGGGATGAGGTGACTGGTTGTGCCTTCCAAAAGCGGGAAGGGGTATACGAGTGCAGCCAGCGAGCTGAGGTCGAGGAGTCTGTAGCGAGGATCGAGAGGGAGTGAAGGTTTGGTTCTGTATGTGGAGTACTGTAGTTGCTTGACGAGTAGGAGGATCACGTTCTGATCACTGGAGGATTGCGAGGCGTAGGGGAGACTTTTTACATGGCTACTTGCTGTTTACGAATGCGTGATTTGGCTTCATCTCCGAAACACTATTGATAATAATACAGAGCATTTTATCACAACGTGATTAGATATGAAATATGGGAACCTTTTTTTGGAACTACCTGTATGAAAACTGAGCTGCTAATACGAGATAGTATCCATAGTAATAAGAGGCTTTTTCTTATAATAGAGCTTTACCTTGGATTGTTATTACTGCCATTAGAATTGTTAGTAACTTCGCGATGCTAGCCAGTGTTTAGTACCCTTAGTGACGCTAGGGGACTGAATTATTCATTCGATCGGCCGCAGTCCGTACCCCCTTCCTCAAAGTCTATCCATCGAAATCATTGGGACGCGAGGATTAAGAAAAGAGGGATCCCAAATGGACCCTAGATGCCTATCTATAAGGGATAAGGCATACTATCCTTTGATATTCCGCTGGAATGCCTTCCGCAATGTCTTGCGGGAATGTGATACTTCTTGATAGGATTCCTTAAGAATAAGTCTGAGAAGACGCGTGAGTACGATTGTCCAATACCACACAAGAGCTTGGCTTCACAACATTATCCCTCTGGATACTCTGACCTCTCCACAACTCGACGATTCCGAATGTGGCCCCCTGGAACTGGACCGAGATGAGCTGAGACCGCACTTGAAATGGAATGCCGACACGGAGCTGCTCTCGATTACGCGTTTCTGTCAAATCCACACTTCGCAATACCTCTGGCATTCACGTACGATCTGGATCGATCGCGGCTGAGGCTGTCGAACCATCTGGCAGTGCTCTCGTCGTCGTTGGGATATTCAAAAGTCTCGTCGAATTGTGTCCATAAGTTTGTTGAACATATCAAACCTTTCGATTCGGTCAGATATAGCCGAGAAACGAACGATTCAAGGCGACTGCATCAGAATACGTACAGCTGACTTACGCAATTGAGCGATAGAAGATGACCGCGTCATCGATTCTCGGTACGCAACATGATTAGTGTGTCTCGTGCTTTGTACGAAGTGATACAAATCTTACTCAACTGGACCGAGAACTTCAAGTACGAGAAGGTGAACGAGGAAGAGACGTATACCAACCAACGTATATAGCAAGGAACTACAACACGCCTTAGGCACACTCGCATCATCTTGCTTCCGCAGCATCTCCCTCAACTCCTCCCCCTATATCCTCCTTCAACTTCCAGCTTCCACATCATCACATCACCACATCAGCCAGTAAGGCCTCTGTCTTCCCTTGCTCACCATCTCCCTTCCCTCTCGCAATCCACCCCATCACCCCCCCTCCTCCCTCATCCTCCTCACCACCACCTCCGTCCCCACCACCTCCCCAAAAGCATACCCAAAAGCCCCCAGCCCCCTCTCCTGCTGCAACTCATCCACAGTCCCACACGCATCCCCCACAACCCAAGTCTCCCAGCCCCTATCAAACGCACTCCTCCCCGTCGTATCAACACAGCAATCCGTCATCGTCCCACAAACCACCACCCTCCCAACCCCCCTCTTCCGCAACCTCCCCGCCAACCCCTCCCGCTCCTCACGCCCCGGATCCGCCGTCGCGCCCAGAAAAGCATCGTACGTGTTCTTCGCCACCACGACGTCCTCCTCCCCCAACCTCTCCACGTCCGCATCCACCAGCTCCTGTATCTCCGTCTGGAACGCCCAGTCCCGCGTCCCGGGCTTTATGCACCCGTCCTCGCCCCATCGGCGCACCAGTTGGTTCGTTATCGGCTCCTGGAAGTCGGAGGGGGGGTGCCCGTGCTGGGTGTAGAAGATGGGGAGGGCGGCGGCGCGGAAGGCACGGGCGAGGGTGAGGATGTTGGGGAGGGCGGAGGTGGTCATGGGGGCGAAGAAGTTTTGCATGTCGATTATTAGGAGGGCCGTTTTGGGCATTTTTGTGGGGGCGGAGTTGATGCGGGAGTGGTGAGGGCGGAGGTTGGTCTGGGGGTGAGAGGGAAGGGGTTTATCTGCGCGTGGCTGATGGGTGTGGGTGGGTGGGATGAGGTTCGCGGCGGGGAGTGGGACGTTTTCGGTGCTTCGAGGATATGTACAGTACACCAGTGTGGTGACTTTGAGGTGGTCCGCGAGCGATTCTGGTTCAAGGCCTTTGCTCTGACTGACTTCGGATTCCCTTTGAGACCTTGCTTTTAATCGATTCCAAGCTCTTGCCTTCTTCTGTTCGACTTCCACTCGCGTTATTGGCAGCAGAAAAAAGTGACTAGTCCTGTGACGTTGAGTTTCGCAATCCTTGATTCGAGTGGAGCTGGTTATTCCTGACTGTTTCTCGTCTGTGTAGATTGTTTATGTTGGTCTCGTAGTGTAATGTCATGTGTTGTCGATGTCGGGGGCTTCAATATATGTTTCGAGGCGACCCCTCACTTTCTCACCTATCATGCAGCTTCATGACGTCACATATTAAGACCTCCTTCGCCTTCCATCATCGAGTTCAATGAACGGCGGTATCTGCGTATTTCTGATATACGAACGAATGTGCGACATTGAGGTGAGCGAGGAAGGGCTGAGACAGTAATCTTGGTGTCGAAGGTTCACAAAGGAAACGAATCTTCGATCTTGCACCTCTTGTTGCAGATTGGGTGATTAAACCATTTTGCCGTCCTGAAGATCGTATTGACATGCTCGAGTTATTAGGTACCTTGGTATGGATCTTGAAGCGCGCGTAGAGTAGCTTGACTACATTTTTTCTGATGACAGGTCACCGGCGACGATAGCCTACTTACAAGTAACGGCCCAGCAGCTCCAGGGAAAGCTTTAGGCGACCCAACCCTCGGATTTCGATATGGGGCTTTCAAGACACCATCGCCGAGGGCTTTTCGTGTCCGCCATCCCGTCACCAGATAATACGACCGCCACGGCCGCTGCTTTCCCTTTAATGTGCATGCTGCAGACCCTCCATCCCATTCATCCGCAACCTTGTACGGACGTAAACAACCAATCTCTCTGACCTTCTTCATCGTTCCGCTCTCCCTTCCCCTTCCGGCAACCGATGCGCTCTCCACCTGGGCATCCACCAATACCGCGCACGTCCCCCATCCGCACCGTCGCTCCCGTCGCTCCCGGCATAACTTCGTCCGGAACTTCCACGGCGACCCGACGGCAATAGCCGACCGTTCCTCGCATCGAGTGCCCGTTTCCGATGCGAATGCATCTCGGACCAAGTCGCCAAGATAACGACGGGAGGCAGAAAGCGAGGAAGAGTGGGTTTCGGGTTCAGGGGTGAGATTCGGTGATGGTGAGTGGATTAGGTGGTCCCGACTGGTGGGATCGACGAGTCCTGGATGCGCATTGAAAACGGGATGGAGTGGCGAACATGCTGGGCGTGCGATGTGGCTCTCCGGGAGGCGAATGGTTGGGAAGATTCGTTGAAGGGTGCGGCGGGCGTTCCGGGTATCGTGGAGTAGCTTATGGTGCCCGCGGACTTTATGCATCATGAAACGCTTCTTCCTGTTTCCAATCCTGATCTTCCCCATCTCTTCTAAAAACCGTGGTCGCAGTTTCATTTACGCTTCAGATGCGAATACAACCACCCTCCTCCAAGCGCGAGCAGCACGCCCGCAGTCTCGCGATGCGTCGGTATCTTGCCCTCGCTGTACCAGCCAAAGGAGAGGATGAGGATGGTCTTGAGGTTGCCGACGACGTTGAAGGTGAGGGCGGAAGTGCGGCTGATGATGAGGAATTGCGAAAGGTTGAGGAGCGAGGCCATGATGCCTGAGGCGAGGAGGGTCCAGTAGATGGAAGTCGGGATGGTACGGAAATCCGGGATTCGATCGAAGACGGGGACGAGGAAGACGAGGAGGAATGCGGAGATGGGGGCTTGATTCATCAAGAGCTGTTGCGCCGAAACGTCCAGGTCTTCGATTTTCTTGCCGATCCAGATTTGGTAGAAGCCTGTTACCGTGACTGCGGCTGCGGCGATGACGGCGCCGACGGGATTGCTCTGCGCCGAGTCGGAGTTTGTCATGCCGACGCCAACGCATATGCAGATGATGGCGATGACTTTGGAGAAGGAGATCGGGGTGCGGAACATGACGAGCGTGATGAGAACGACGGCGGGGGTGGTCATGACCTTGGCGAGTTGGTAGAAGCCGATGGTGTTGTAGGTTAAGGAGAGGTTGCCGAGGATCACATAGGCGGTGAAAAGAGCGCAGATGGGGATCATGGAGCGCAGGGGGAGGCGGATGGGTTTGAAGGCGCGGAAGGGGGCGCGAGTCGAGATGAAGAGGACGATGGCAGTGCAGAGGAAGTGCCACATGGTGAAGAGGACCTGGGCATCGCGCATTTGGGGGTCGGAGAAGATGCTGGTCTTGGTTAGCAATGTGGGCGTTGCTAGGTAGGATGTTTCTTTTCTGATTTATTCTTTTTCTGCCGACTTTCTGGGGTGGCCCGGAATACATACCGCTTGCTGAGAAAAACAATGGCTACAGTTGCGAGGGTGTTGAGAAGGATGCATGATGCGGTGATGATCCTGGAGCCCATGGAAGGCGGCGCATCATTCTCCTCCTCTTCCTTGATCGGAAGCAGCTTCTCGAACGCCAGATGGCGAATGCTGGCAACGGGGATTTTCTCGTCTGGATGCAGGTCAGTATGTGGGTGAGACGGAGAGTTGGGCGTCGAGAACGCACCCATGGCAGAGGTCCCCGAGAATTCCCCCTGACTCTTTACAGCGATGCACTCGACTCAAGCGCAGAAAAAGCCGGCTCTTTTTGAGAAAGCTCGC